CTGGGCGGAGGGGCTGTCAGCCGGGGCGTGGGAGAAGGGAGATTCCAGCTGATCGGTGGTGGTCCTTTGGAGGCCTCCGGAGTCCCTGGCGATTCCCGGCCTTCTATCAGCTTTTGCACCCTGGGGAGAACCAGAGTACCAGTTTCTTCGTTGGTTGGCCCCAATCGTACCAGTGTCCATAAGTAACCTTTAGTCTTCAAGAACAACCCCAGTTTTAAATATATATATCTTTATGGATCTCAGAGAGAGGAAGGAAGAGGGAGAGAGCTGGAAACATCAACGGTGAGAGAGTCATTGATCCACTAACTCCTGCACACCCCCTGCTGGGGATGGGGCAGCAAGCCCCAAGGTGCTCTGACCTCTGACCAGGAACCTAACCAGCAGCCTCCTGGATCATAGGTCCACGCTCAACCCCTGAGCTGGCAGGGCATCCAATTTTAAAGAGTCTGACCTGTCCCCTCTAAAGTACAAATGCTGTTGTCTGACATTGTGCTCCACTTCTAGGTTTGGAAACTATGACCCCCAAAGCCAAAGGTGGCTGATTCGGTTTGGAGGGTGCAGAGGGAGGAAGGAAGTAATGATGCCTCTCACAGCACCAGGGCCCAGGGCCCAGGGCATCAGTGGGACAGAGGCAGCATGGCTGTCCTCTGAGACGCCAGGAGTGAGCTTGCCATTCACCATCTACGTCCCTGTTCCTTCACCCTTAGGCTGGAGATAATAATGTCTGCCCTGCCCTGCCCTGCCCTGCCCTGCCCTGCCCTGCCCTGCCCTGGGAGCCTGCTGGATGATCTTGTGAGAGGTGGCTGTAAAAGACAGGCCTTTGGTGGAAGCAGTCATCCAAACCCCATCATCGTGAGTGACCTCCCTCTGTGGCTTTCTCATATGTCACTTGGGTCTTGGAGTTCCACCTCCCAATTCACTCCTCAGTTATTAAGGGTTTGTGCAGGGTAGGAGTCTGACAGTAAGAGCTATGAAAAATGCACTCCCCATCCTCTGGGGGAGCCAGGCATGTATGTGTATATGTATATGTGTACATGTGCATGTATGTGTACATGCATATGTGTATGTGTATACATACCTATATGTGTGTGTGCGTGTTATGTGTATATGTGTACATGTTATGTGTGTGTGTGTGTTATGTATGTGTTATATGTATATGTCTGTGTTGATAAAGACTAACTGGAACTTTCAGCAAACAGTCAGTCTGGAGGGTCTATAGGAGGAGCCAGGGCTTATGGAAGTTCTCACACTCTGCTAAGTAATCATGAGAACCCTACAAGAGAGAACCCTACAGGAAGAACTCTATGTTTATAATAAAGCTCTATGGTTCTAAATTCCCCTTCCCTTAACATCCTTTCCCTTGTATAAACACCCCTTGGTCTTGGCACGCAGGCCGAAGTGCGCACATGGCTGCCCAGTCTGCATGCACCAGGTGGCAACTGTTTTTTCCCCCTGAATAAACCCTTTTGGATGATGGAACACCTAGTTGACATTACTTTTCAGTCGCTATTGTATGTGTGTGCACATGTGTGTATGTATACTTCTATAATCGCAGAGTACAGCATGACCCGTGCTGAAGTCAGAACTAGAAGGGGCTGTGAAACCCAAGCCCTCCAGAGCAGTGTGGAAGGCGAGATTGCTGAAGACGTCATGGAAAAGTCGGAGCTTGAACTGGGCCCTAAGTCAGACAGAGATTTGCAGATATGAGGCAAGGCCATTCCTGGCTGTAAGCACTGAGGGACTGCGGAAGCAACAGCAGGGCGGCGTGAACGTGGCTATGTGACTGGATACAGGGTCTGTCCAGGTGAGTAAACCCAAAACGGCCAGGTGAGCTTATTCGAAGGTGAGGAGGAAGAGCTTGAGGTTTGAGCAGGGAAAGTGTGTGAGTAGGCTTGTGTTATTTTAAAAGTGGTTTCTGGCAGCAGTGTCGGGGACACAGTGCAGAGCAAGGCTGAGGGGGTGGGAGGGCTTAGTCCACCTCAGTCCTGTCCACACCCCACGTGCACAGCCCCAGCCCCAGCCAGGAATGCCATGAAGAAATGGTGAGCTCCTGCAGGAAAGTGGTGCGCATGCTAGGTATTTTCCTGGTGTCATCTTTTGGGGGCCTCTGAGGTGGGTGGGGCAGAGCTCTTCATAAAAAGGGAACCAAGTCCAGAGAGGCTGTAACTTGCCTTAGATCTATAGCAAGTTGCTGTTTCCCACCCAGGACTTCACCTAGATCCTTCACCTTACTCTTCCAAAGGGGGTGGGGGTGGGGACAGAACGACCTCTGTGGGGCTGGCCTGGATGCTCACCTGGGCCTCTTGAGTTCAGTCCTGCCCCCCTTTTGGAAACCCCACCTTTCATCAGTCTTTTGTTGGCCTCATAGTCCCTGCAGTGAACAGGAAAGACACTGGGGGGCGCTCGCTGCACAGGTGACCAACAGCACTACTGCAAGGCCGAGGCCTGGAGGGAGGGGTTGAAGTCGGTGTGGAAGGGTGGTGAAGGGCCCCCAGGAGGCTGGCCCAGCGGGAGCTGAGAAAGGCCCGTGGAACCGTAGGGTAGCTGCAGGGCTCGTTAGGGTGAAATATCCTGACAGCCATACATCAGAAATGTAATTTATAGACAGAATTTTAGAATCTTCACTTTCCCTTTTCTATAGTTATTTGCCAAGTGCCTGTGGCATTCTCAGCAGCCTTTGGTCTCTTCCTGATGATGATTACTGGCCTTGCTAGTTGCCAGGCTCTGCCCTTAGCACTTTCCTGAGTCATCCATTTGTTCCTCACCGGGGGTCTGTGAGGTGGCATTTTGAATTATGCCCACTTTTACAGGAGCAGAAACTGAGGGTTAGAGAAGTCAAGTCACTTGCCCACAGGTAAATACACAGCAACTAGCAGATCTAGAGTTCAAACCTGAGTCCTTTTGACTCCAAAACCAAAACTAGACTGGAGGGTCTCAGCCATCATTATTTTCTCAATTCTCGGGGTCTGTAATAAATGCTATCCCTTCCTTTATAGTCCTTGTGTGGTAGACAGACAGACATGAGCAGAGCAAGAACGATGGGCCAGGTACTGAGACTCAGTACCTAGCAACGGACAATTGTAGCATGGAACGTTGCCCCCAGGGTGGTCTTTTCTCCCCCAGCATATCTCGAGCCATGTGGTTTGTACCCCTGACTGTCCTCCCTAGGCCTCAGTTGTATTTTAGCTCCAGGTCCAGAAAAGCAGTGAAACTAGACAGTTGACCCCACAGCTAACCTCAGAACCAGTTGCATTGGATAATGACCCCCTGCCCTGGTGCTGACCAATCAATCAGTGGACACCACAACGCTAAAAGGACACACCTGTAAAGCTGATGAATACTCTATTAAGATCTTCCCCTGGAACCTCCCCTAAAATCTCCACTTTTAAAATCCTTAGGACAGAGGACTCAGGGCTCTCCCTCCCAAGAGCACACCCACACTTTTCCCGCCCCCCCCCC